CCGCAGGGCCCCCTTCTCCCCCACGTGGGCTCCCCAGAGAAGAAGGACTGGTGAGGAGGTGCCCCACCTGGGCATCCCTTCCGGGTTGCAAGCAGAGCTCAGGGCGAACTCCTGGATCTTCCATCATCACAGCTGGCCATAAATGGATCCTCCATGGTCAGGGGCAGTCACCTTCAGGCTCTCTTCCCCCTCCCCTGGGGAAGCCAGGGCCCGGCCGTTGCCGGAACGCCCTTCTGTGGTGCCCAGCCGGGCCGAGCGGGGGGGGGGGAACTTCCGATGGGGAAGGCCGCTGGCCGGGTGGAGGGGGCCGGGGAGGCTCCGGCCCTGACCCGCAACGCAGGACGAGAGAGGCCGACCGTGACGTTCGGGGGGTCGCGGGGAGACGGGCGGCTTCGGCGGATACGCGGGAGGGGCGCCGGCCGTGGGGGGGGCTGTTTTCCCAACTTGCTCCCCCCCCATTAGCCAATTGGCTCCTGCTGGTGGGGCGGGTGGGAGAGAGGCTGTCTTGGGGAGGGGGCACGCGGGAGGGGCGGGTCCGGATCCCTCCTGGCCGTGAGCAAAGCCCCTCTCGCTGCTTGCAGCCCCCCAGTGGGAGCGCCCAGCGCGCCTGACGGCGTGAGAGCGAAGAGCCGGCTGACTGACGCGGGGGGCAGGGCAGCCAGGATGGGAGGCTGCCCAGGGAGGGACCCCTCCTCCCCGCTGGGGCTCGGCGGCTGCTCCTGCTGGGAAAAAGGTTCTCTGGGGGAGGGGGAGGCCTTTGGCCTTTTGGTCCCGGTGGGATCCGACCGGTCGGTGTTGTTGCTGACGAAGTTTGTGCTGGCTGGGAAGGTTCCCAGGAAGGAGTCGTGAGTTGAGCCCTTTTTTGCCAACCCCTTCCCACTCTCCCCCGCTGGAGAGAGAAAAACACCCCCCAAGGAAAACACGGGGGGGGGAGAGAGATTGAGAACAGGGGAAGCCTTTCTGCAGGCTGAGATCCTCACTGGCTGCCTGGAGGGGCCTCGCTGCTCCCTTTGAACCCCCTGCAAGTAGAAAGTGGGAGGGGGCGGGGGGGGCTGCTAAAGATTCCCTGGCACACATCTCTGCCTGGCAGGCCATCCTGGGGCTCTGCGGTGGTGCTCCAAAAGCCTCTCCCCCCCCCCCGTTTAGCAGGGAGGTGCAAGGGACACCCTGAAGAAATCCTCTCCCCGATGCTGGGACCCCTCCCTCGGGGTCTCCTCAGCAGATGGGAGGAGAGGCAAGGAGGGGGCCTTCTCCGGGGGGGGGAGGGCTTTGCTCCTGGGCCCGTCCCCAGCCTCTTTGGCATTCGGCCCCTTGCTTGGGGGCACCCTTGTCCTTGCTCTGAGCAGGGGCCACAGCAGAGGCGTGCCCGGGAGTCCATGTGATGCCCCCGGGGGGCCCCTGTAGCCCAGAGAGGCAGATCCAGTTCCCGGTGCTGTGCAGGTGTGGCAGTGGCACCTGCCAGAGAATACCCTGCCCTCGGGCCCTTCCCTGTGTTTTTTTTTCTGGAGTTTACCCCACCCAGCTGGAAATCCGGTAAGTTGCCACAGCTGCTGGCACGGTTGCTTTTGCCATCGGCTTTTGCCCCGGAGAAGCAGCTCTGCCAGGGAAGCTGGCGGCTGGCTGCCCACCACCCGGAGGGACCAGCCTTGGCCCCAGCCCCAGGTCTCCAGCAGCTGCTCGCCCCTCCCCCCAGGACCAGCCTCAGTGCCACCTGTGGCCGCCTCTGTTTGTGGCAACCTGGCAGAGCCCCCAAGGTGCCGCATCCCCTCCTGCCACACGGGACAGGGGGGGCGCTGGGGCTTGCTCCCAGGCAGTCAGGAAGATCCCAGGGCTGGCTTATGAAGGAGCGCCTGGAGGGGAAGGGAGGGGTGCCCAGTCAGGATGGCTCAGTGTTCAAAGGAGTAAACACATTTGCATCCAGCTTCTCTTATCCTAATGAGCAAGTTACATGCAAGCCGGAAAAAAGTCACACCCAAAGAAGAAATTAGTTGCAAAATAGAGGTTATTTATAGCTGGCTGCTGGCCTTGGCATCTGATAGCACTAACTCAGTTTATTTCCCCCCCCCCACTTTTCCACGCAACAAATACAATGGTGCCGCCTGGGCATAGCTTCTTTCATTTGGTTAATGAAAAACAGGCATGTGAAAATGTAAAATAATTTGGCAAGCCGTGCCCAGCAAGCAGGTTCAAACAGGCCCCATCCTTTCCGGATAGTTCGCCTTGCCTCTGCCTCACAACAAGGAACTTATTCAGCCCCCCTCCTGGCTTCTGGAGCTTTGTGTGTCTCCTTCTCTGTCACATACACACACACACACACACACACACACACACACACACACACACGTGACATGCTTTCAAGCCACTTTGGTGCCTTTTAAATAAAATACACTCTGCACTTCAGCCATTCTTGTTTCATCTGGAGGGTCAGGAAAACCTGCCCTGAAGGCTGCTCCAAGGCCAGGCCCCCCTCCCTCCTCTCCAGGACCCCCCAAGGCCCCCCTCGGAGCCCTCCTTCCTGGCCAGGCCTCAGGCCCAGAGGTGGCAGAGCCAAGGTGGGGGGGGGATCTCAGGCAGGAAAGTCTCCCCCATCTGGGTGGCTGGATGAGAATGGCAGGCCCTTCCTGGGGGCTGCATCCCAATGGCAGCCCCCCCAATGGAGGAGGGGGACACACAGCCTCTGGGAAGGCAGGGGCCGCTGGGCCTTTAGCCTGTGTTGGTCTGTTGTGTTGCTGCACTGCTTTGAGAGGGAAAATGGCACAGCTGCACAAACAGGGTGCAGCCTGGTGAGGAAAGTTCCTGCCCCTTGGCGGAGTGCGCCCCCCCTTCCTCTTTTCCGCCAGTCCTGCAGGGCGCCAGGGGGCCACCCATGGGCTCTACTTGGGCTTCTCTCTTGCCTGGCTCAGCCTCTGGCCTAGAGCCACCTCCCCCACCCACAACGGGGGCAGGCTGGATTAATCCAGGGGGGGGATCTCCATGAGGAGGGGGCAGCTGGCGTGTGCCCATTGTAGCTGAGGGTGCCAGTCGTTATGCCATGTCTGCGGCATCGGTTCATCGGGAGATGCTGCCAACTGGAAAATGATTTTCTTGCTCACCAAACTCAGAGATAGAGTATGCCAGTATGTGGAAGTTCTACCAACTCTAAGCAGGCATATGCCTGGATGAATGTCTGTGGAGAGCCAAGCCCGCTCTGCTCCATTCCTTTCATCCAAAAAAACCCGGAGCCAACAGCAGGGGTGAACCCTGGGCAGAGACAGGCAGGGTCACCTCCTTCTGACCCCCACCCAGCCCAGCCTCTCCCTGCCCCAAGTCCATCACCTTCCCCTCAAAAGACTCCGGGGCCTCCCTGCCCCCCCTCCCCTGGCTGAGATTTCTTTCCCTCCTGCAAAGGGCCACTTGGGCCTTTGGGGAAACTCTGGTGTGTGTGTGGGTGTTTTTGGTTGGGGGGGGGAAAGAGGCCCTCAGGAGTGGCCAGGAAGGTGGACAAGAGGCTCCACCCATTGGAAGCCTGTGGGAAGCCCACCCCCATGCAAGACAGAGCCCACTTGGGAGAAAGAGAACTCAGCAGTAGGTTTATGTTTAGGTGATGCCACACAAAGAAATTCCCCCTTTAGGCCCACCCTCCCTGCCCCGTTCCCCACTGGGGCAACCTTGAAAACCAGTGTCTGCTTTTTCTCTCCCCTTACACAGAGAGAGAGGGAGAGGGAGGGAGGGAGGGAGAGGGAGGGAGGAGAGAGAGAGAGAGGAGGAGAGAGGAGGGAAAGAGGGAGGAGAGAGAGGGAAGGAGAGAGGGAGGGAGAGGGAGAGAGGGAGGGAGAGGAGAGATAGAGGGGGAGAGGGAGGAGGGGAGGGAGGAGAGAGAGGAGGGAGAGGGAGGGAGAGAGGGAGAGGGGGAGGGAGGGAGAGAGAGAGAGGGAGGGAGAGAGGGAGGGAGAGAGGGAGGGAGAGGGAGAGAGGGAGGGAGAGAGAGAGAGGGAGGGGGAGGAGAGGGAGGGAGAGGGAGAGAGAGAGAGGGACTTGAAGGGAGCCTGGGATGGCAAAGTCATCCTCGGGGCTTCCTGGGGAAGTGATCAACCTGCTTCCCAGGCTTGCCTCCCCCGTGGCTGGCAGGAAAGCGCCTGTCCAGGACAGAGGAAAATTGCCTTGGGAAAACTGCCGCGTGGCTCCTCTCCGCACACCGGAAGTGGGGAAGCAAGGCTGGCAAAGGAAATGCCAGCCAGGCTGAGCTGCCCTGGAGGATTTCTCCAGGATTGGAGAGGTTGGTTGACCTGTCGCTCTCTTCCCAGCTTCCCAGGTCCTGATTTGCCCTCCCGTCTAGAGCCAGGTGCAGATTCCAGACTCCCAGTGCAAACCGGTGTCGTCCTGGAGCTGGGGAGGCGCCCTGAGCCCCCAAAAGACGCCTCTAATGCAGGGAGCTCCCCTTCTCTGGGTCTTGGGCCCCTCTTAAGCTTTAGGAAGTTCCCAAACCCCACTGGAAGGGCTTTCGACAAAGAGGGGGAGCTTCAGAGGAAGGCAGGGAAGGAAGAACTGGGGGGCTGGGGAGGGGAGGGGGGCTTCTTGAGGCCCCTGGAATTATTCCACCCCCCACCCCCCACCCCGCCGTGCCTCTCCTTCCAGGTGCAGACACCAAATGTGGCCTTCAGAGAGCCTTCTGGGCCCCAGGAAGCACGTGCCCAGCCGTGGTCCGGTGGGCGAAGGGGGCCAGGGTTATGGTGAGCCCGCGGGGACCCTCCGGCATCTCCCCGGGGCCTCTCCTTCCCTGGGCTGGGCAGCCTTCCAGTCAGCAGTCCCTTCAGGAGTCAGCTCTGCCTGGAGGGGCGGGGGGGGGTCAGCTGGCCGTCAGACCCCAAGGGAGGCGAGCGAGCCCTTCACATATTTTGCTCAGAGGGGCAAAGAGTCCTGGCGGCCAAACCAGTCGTGACTTCCCCCAACCCCCCCTCCCTTTCTGGGTTTCCTGCGTCGGCCGGCGAGGGACTTTCTGCAGAAGCGCCTCGGGGTCTTGCGCTGCACGGGGGCTCCCCCCGTAGTTCCGGGGAGGGGAGGGGCAGTTCTTTTCCGCTCTCGGCGAGTCTCTCGGCGCCGGCCAAGCCCAGTCTCGTCTGCGCGGCTCCAGTCCACTCCGGCGGGCGGGCGAGCGCAGAAGAGCGGGGTCTGTCCTGGCCGAGCGCCCCGGAGGCCCAGGGGGACGGCGCCGCCTCCGCAAGGGGCAGCCCCGGGACGTGGGACAGTTGCCCTCCACCAAGCGCGGCAGACGCCCCTTTGGGCCGGACTGTTGCGAGGAGCGCCCGACGTTTTGCTAATCCGGTTGTGCAAGCTGGGTTCGAGTCCCGAGCTTCACCCCTGCAGGGGTGGGCGCAAAGGGGCTCCCCCGGCCGAGCCTCCGCGGCCCAAGCTGTGGGCTTCCACCGGCCGGGCAGGGCGACGCAACGCGATTGCGGCCTGCGCCCCTCGCCTTCCCTCGACTGGACGGCGGCCCTTTCCTAGAAGCTGCGCCGGGGGGAGGAGGAGGAGGAGGAGGGGGCAGCCCATTCCATCTTCGCAGCCCTCGAATTGGCCCCGTTCGAGCGAAGCAAAGCTGGCGGTTGTTCCTGGTTTCCGAAGGAATTCAGACGAGCGGGCAACTGTTCGCGCGCTACGAAGGAGGTCCTGGGTGAATCGAGCTTTGCGGCGGCGCTGAAGGCGGCGTCCGAGGAGCGATGTGGGGAAGCGGTGAAGGCTCCGGGCTGGAAACCAGAGACGGTGAATTCTGGCCCTGCCTGAGGCAGGAAGCCAGCAGGGCGACTTCGGGCCAGTCCCTCCCGCTCAGCCCGGGGAAGGAGGCAACGGCAAACTGCTTCTGGAAAACCTGGCCAGAGCTGGCAGGCTGGGAGACCCAAAGAGGCTGGTTTAGGAATCGGTCGTTCCTAGGCAACCACTGCTTGCAAAAAGGTGGGGAAGTATTTTCCGGAGAGGGTCCTTTCACTCCAGCAGAGAGCAGGAACAGCCGGGAAGCCTCAGTCTGGGCAACAGGGAGGGTTGCGCGATTCTCGTGCTCCGAAGGACCCTGGCAGCCCTCCAGAGCGGGCAATGGCAAGTCCCCCAATCCCTGGCGAATCCCCACGAGCCACGCTGGCCGGGCAGCTCAGTCGCTGCAATGCCAACTGGGGGGGGGGAATGCAGGGAGGGGTGGGGGGGAAGTCCCCCTGCACAGTTCCAGGAAAGGCAACAGACACCTTCAGTCCACAGGAACAATTCAGGGTAACAGCAACAACAACACTTAAACTGCTGAGAGGCCCACAGGATGCCGGTCACCCCCTCGGCAAAGGGAGCCGGTGGCACCTGCTGCTTTGGGGGAGCCCGAGGGCTGAGCCAGCCACCAATTACCAGCTTCCTTCAGCAAAACAAGCCAGAGAGCTGGGCAGAGGCCACCGAGGCTCATGCCCAGAGGGGGGAGCCGCGCCCAGCCCTTCATTTGAGGCCATGGGGCCAGTGCCACTCTTGACCAAGTGGCATCCGGGTGAGGGGAGGTCAGGGAGGAGCGAGGGACCGGCCCGGAGGATGAAGGGAAGGGACCAGGAGACCAAAGGGGCACAGCCAGGTCCCAACACTGCAACCCCGGAGGTTGGGGGGTGGGAGGTTGGGGGGGAGAGTTGGCAGCAGGGCCCTAGAATTTGAGAGGGGGAAACAGCCTATGGCTGCTGTGCAAGAGAGGAGCTGCTCCAGGTGTCCAATTGTCCAGCTGAGACACGATTAAAGAGAAAGGATTTGTTGTATCCCACTGCTCCAAGTTGGTCATTTAGGAGAAAATACTTTTTTTTAAAGATTCCACCCCTCCCCCAACCACTGAGAAATGTGAAACCATCGGCCAAGTGAGGCATCTTCTGGTGGAGAATCCTGTGAGTGGGTTCTGGGCCAGAATAGAGATCCCCCTTCCAGCAAGTGGAGATCAGGATAGACTGGACCTGGTTGTGGAGGTACTATTTTGCCCTTTGGTTTAAGGGATAGCCTGCCAAAAAGCGGCCTCTGCCAGACCATTGTGGCTTCCTCAGCCCCTTCTGGGCTTCCGCACTCAGATCCTCTAGCGTCCCCTCCCCCATTCTCTCAGGGAAAGCCGGGTTGTTCCCCACATCTGGAGAAGCCTCAGACAGTAGCGGTCTTTGCGGATGGCCCAGGAGGCTCCCTGCTCCTCCGGGAACAGGCCTGCCGTCTGCCCAGAGAGCATCAGGCTGGGGTGGGGGATGGGGGGGCCTTTCCCAGGAAGTCCCCACAGGAAGGAGGGGGAGGGGCAACAGAGCCTTGCTCTCCAGGACGCTGCTGGGTGTTGGAATAACAGAATCAAAAAGCTGGAAGGGACCTTGGAAGTCATCTAGTCCAACCCCCTGCTAAGGCAGGAAACCCTAGACCATTTCAGACAAATGGATGTCCAGTCTCTTCTTAAAAACTTCCATTGTTGGAGGCAGGTTGTTCCACTGATCAATTGTTCTGTCAGGAAGTTTTTCCTTAGTTCCAGGTTGCTTCGCTCCTTGATGAGTTTCCATCCGTTGCTTCTTGTCCGGCCTTCAGGCGTTTTGGAGAATAGCTTCACTCCCTCTTCTTTGGGGCAGCCCCTGAGATACTGAAAGATTGCCATCATGTCCCCCCTCGTCCTTCTCTTCCTTAAACTACTAGGCATACCCAATTCCAGCAACCTTTCCTTATATGGTTTAGCCTCCAGTCCCCTGATCATCTTTGCTGCTCTTCTTTGCACTCTTTCCAGAGTCTCAACATTTTTTTTTATATTGTGGTGGTGACCAAAACTGGATGCCATATTACCGTATTACCAGGGTATGGAGTCCACTTCGAGACAGTTGTGTGTGTGTGTGTGTGTGTATGTTGCATCTAGGGTCCACTTTGCAAGAGGCCTCCAGAGGAAGAGCTGGCCGCCAGGTCTCCCTCTTCAAACCTCTTTGGCCATTCCCTGATGCAAGGACAGGTGGTGTTACTGTCTTGCCCCCCCAAAAAAGGGACCCTCAGCTTTCCCTCTTTGCTGGCAGGCTCCCCGCTTTCCCCAAAGTCTGAGGGGGCGTTGCACTGGGGCATCCTCTGCTTGCATGCAGCCCCTCCCCCAGACCACTGCTGGGGGGAGTTGGCCACAAAGGAGGGGGGGGGGCAAAATAATTGGAGGTTTTACAGGCAAGTATTAACAAGACTCTCCTGTGACACTGTGGCTTGGCCAAAGTCCCGGCTAGGCAGGGCTCAGCTGGAGAAAGGTCAGCCTGGCCTTCAGAGAGAAGCAGGCACACCCCAGGCCAGCCCATTGCTGTCGCACTGAATGTTTTGCTGCCTGAAAATCTGGTGGGAGGGGGAAGCTCTGACAGATCCTCCGCTGTGAGGAGCCCACGTGTCCCACTGCATCTGGGGAGAACATTCCCTCCACTTTGGGCAAATCCCTTTCCCTCCTGGGGATCTTTCAGGAGAGGCCTGGCCCAGCATCTGGGAATCAGCCCAGCATGCAGCCCATTTTCTGGGAAGTTAAGAAACAGCTTTGTGGTGGAATCACATTCCTGAGCAAGCCAGCCCAGGGATCCCAGCAGGAGAACTGCACACTCAAAGGCCCCCCTGGCTGTTCCGGGAAATGGGAGCTGCCAATTAGCATAGACAGGGCTGGCTGAAGGGGGGGCGAGGGGGAGGAGTGGGAAGGAAGCTCTCCCCAAACCTTGCAGAAGGAAGGCAGTTGCAGCAATGTCCCCCCCCCCCATGGGAAGCCATCCTGCAGGCCTTCGCTCTGGGGCTTGGTAAGGAGAGGTGGGTTGGGGACCATGCCAGTTTCACTCTGTGGCAAGGGCAACTGCCTGGCACTGCTGCACTTGGCTGGGCTTCCTGTTGGCTCCTCCACCTCAGATCCAACTGAAGGAACAAGTTTAGGAACATTTTGAAACACACGTTTTTTTTTTTTACAGGAGGTCTGTTGCAATCCGGAACCTGCTCCAACTATGCAACTCTGCAACATCTCACAGACACACTTTCCACCGAATGAGGCCCTGGACCAAGTGGTAAAAAGGGGAGAGCATGGATGCCTTTTTGGGTCAAGATCCTTCTGAATTAAGGGAGGCATCCCAAGTAGAGAAGGGAAATCCAGCCCCCCCCCATTGGAAATGCCACAAGGCAACCACTAGTATTGGCACAACAGCTGGGCCTGATCCTGTGCAAAAGGCACGCTTGCCCCCCCCCCTTCATGGCCATGCAAGAAACACAAAGAGGCCCTTGAAAAGGAAAGCAGCCCCTAAGACAGACTCAAGATTTGCTGAAGTGTTACTTTCAGACCATAATATATGTTTATTATTCTTTTAATCCAAGAATAAATTTGCATTTGGCTCCTGCAACTTCAGAATTTCATCTTCGGACAAAAGTCGAAAACAAACATGCAGATCTTCTTCCAAGATAAATAAAAGTCAGTAGAAGGAATTTTTTTAAAACTAGAACAATCCTCCACAGCTGAAGGTTGGAGAGCTCCGTCCTCTTCCCACAAGCTCCCAAGCGGAGGTGACTTTGGGCTGCCTCCTCTCTGCTGCTCCTCCTCCTGGGGAAGAGTCCTGGGAGAGGAGCACGCCTGGCCCCCTCCACTCCCCCCCAAGGCCTAACCTCCTCCCAGCAACTCGGCTTTCCAGCTGATCAGGCAGCGTCTCTCCTGGGCAGGCAGCCCCCCTTGGCACTCTGGCAGAGCAGCGTCTCCGCCCTCGGGGAGCCTGGCGCCCACACGGTCCCACAGCCGCCATCCTGCCGCCTCCTCCTTCCAAGCAGTCAGCTGATGGAGCAGCAGCGCAGCCCTCCTCCTCCTCCTCCTCCGGGCCAAGCCAGACCTTCTGTTGGCGCTGTTCCGCTGGATCACCCGCCGATAGTCAGGCGCTATTGTGATTTTTACAGAACCGACATTCTTCCCTTCGGACGCAACTGCTGCACACGTGACGCTCCGCACCAGAGCCCGGCCGGGGCCTCAGCGCGCCTGCAGAGCCACGTAGGGCACCCACTGGTCGTTGCACCGGCTCTCCTGGCAGAATCTGGCCACCTCCGCCAAGCCCTGGCTGCCCCAGGCGTCCGTGTGCGGGCTCTGCGGGGAGGAAGACAGGGCGCCCTTGAGTTCCAGGCCGGCCTCCGCTCCCGCCCGGTGTCCCCCTTAAGAGCCCCCGCCGCCCGGCTCACCGTCACCAGCAGGCAGTGCAAGTCCCGCGGCTCCGCGCCGCCGCCCGGGGGCTCCTCGCCCAGTACGGCCGCCAGGCGCTCCAAGCCGGAGGCGCGCAGGATGTGGATTTCGTTGGCGCAGCAGAAGGCCTGGATGAGCGTGAAGTGGATCTGCAGCGCGATGTCCTCCCCGTCCGCCTCGTCCGCCGCCAGCAGGCAAAGCACCACGCTGTCCGGGTCCCTGCGGGGAAGGGCGGCGGGGTCAGCGGCGGCGGCCCGCCTTCGCTCGGCTTCCGGGCAGCCGGGACCCGGCGAGTCTCGCGGGGCGGGCGGCTGTTGCCGGCTGCACCCGGGCCCGGCGATCCCCGTCCCTCCTCCCTCCCTCCCCGCCCGCCCTCTCGGGGGACGGCGGAGCTCCTCCACTCACGCGTTCATGAGCTTGGCGGCCTCGTAGACGCCCACCGTCAGGCAGCCCTGCCTCTGCGCCGCCGCCAGCAGCCGCTCCAGCGCCTCGCCCACCGAGCCCATCCTGGAAAGAAAGGCCGGGCCGGGGGTCAGAGGCGGCCCCGGTGCCTCGCCCGCGCGACCCCTCCCCATCCCCATCCCCCCCAGGCGGCCGGGGCGTCGGACTCACCCGTGGGCCGCGCTGTCAGAAGGCACCAGCTCCTCCAGCGTCATGTCGAGGGCGAGCTGCGGTCCACCCGCGGGGCAGAGCGGGGACGCGGCTCCGGCCTTCCCGCAAAGCAGGCCGGCGGAGCAAAGCGGAACCGGGCAAATAATCCACAGGCGGGGAAGCGAAAGCAAGCGCGGCTCCAGGCGGGGCTCACGAGACGGATCCTCCCCGGCTGCCGCGACCGAAACTCTGCGGGGTCTCGCGGTCGACGGCGCCTCATATACCTGACCAGAGGGGCGGGCTTACTCCGTCCGTTCCCGCCTGCGATTGGTCCGCCGGCAAACCAGGCCGGCCCGCGAGCTTCGCCATTGGTCCGCTAAGGAATCCCACGGGGAAAGGCGAGCGTTTGCCTTCGGGGCAGAGAAGCTGCTGAGTTTCGGCCGAGTTTCCCAGCAGCGGCATTTCCTGCCCGGGGAGCGCGCGCGGGGGCGGGGGCTGTTTTGCAGAACTCGAGGAGTTCCTGGGAAGGGAGGGCGAGGACGGAGCGCGGCTCACTCTCCCTCCCCCCGCTCCCCCTCTTGGTGGGGCGGCGAGTCAGCCAGGGGGCTTTTACACTAGAAACTCCCGATGCCCACGTTCTTGGCAGGCAGGAAAAGGCTAAGCGGAGCCCGGGGGGGGGTTAAAGGAGATCGCCCATGCAGACTCGGAAAACGCAACAGGCTGGGGGGGGGAGGCTTCTGCTTGCAGGCGCCCTCTTCCTTCGGCCTTTCTCCCCTTTTGCCCAGGCACAGCGCTCCCCCCCCGCGCAGAAATGTCCAGCTGGACGAACCCGCCTCCCGCCCGTAGTGGGCGAGAGGTCGCGGCGGCCGAGCGACCCTGTTGCAGGGCGGCCGGTCACACGACGCGCGTTGCGTCACCGCTTTCTTTGGTCTTGTGGTTCACGCGCAGCCGGAGAGGAAGGAGGCCCGTTTCTTCCCAGCGCTGGGCTCCCGAGGCGCGTGGACGTCCCGGCTCCCCGTCTGAGCCACGCCGGGAGACTCCGGCTCGCGCGCCCTGTGCGAGGACGTCCACTGAGTCACCGTGCTCCGCGTGGACAGCCCGGCCTTTTCCCAGGGGGATCTGGCGTTCCGGAGGGGGAGAAGCTGGAGAGAAACCGATAACACCCACTCGAGCTTCTGCAGAGGGATCGCACGCAGCGTGTCCTGAGAGGCCGGTGCTGCAGCCAAAGTGCCAGGAGACCTCGTAAACTCTACCGGGAAAGCGACTCTTGAATTGGACGAACACCCGCGCTTCCCTCAGCCCCCCTGGAGGCGAAGTGATCCCAGGGCACGAAGGAGGAACCCGGGTATTTGTCTAGAGACTCTCACAGGGAGTGAGAGGACAAGTGAGGGGGACGCAACCAGGGTCTGTTTGCGGGTCTGCCGGTGCCCAAGTGTGCGCAGCCTCAGCCGAGGGGGCTTCAGTCCCAGAAACCCCTTGGAAGGCCAGACCTGAAACCCCTCAGGGCTCCTGGAGTGCTGAGAAAAAGTCACAAGGTCAACAAAAACAGACATGGGTGGTGCCCGCTGTTGTTGTGACTCTTGTGCCTTTCCCAGCATCTGGGCAGGCAAGACCCAGCTCCCCCCCCCCGCCCCGCTGCAAAAATCTCTGCCCCCAAGTTGGCCCCTTTCTTTGGTGACCCCTCTCTCAGGAGAGCAAATCCACCCCCCCCCCGGCAGCTTTTGCCCCCATCTGAGCTCACAGCCCTGGCATTTCAGTGCTCCCCAACACCTCTCCTTTCACACAGACTGGGTCAATCAGGTGGCAGTGCCCACCGAGGCCTCGTCCTGGAGCTCAGCACCCCCCTTTTGCAGTGGCTCTTGCTCCTGAGTTTTGGGGAGCCCCTTGATCTGCTCCCCCCTTCCTATCAGCTGAGAGGAATCAGTGGGGAGGAGTGGGGGGTGAGGCTGTTGTCATTGTCTTCCGGCCACTCCTTGGCACAGCTCACTGCCACCTCTCTTTTGAAACTGCTGCAGTATCTGCTTTGGCCCTTGTTTGTTTGTGTGCGTGTGTGTTTTGGAGGCAGCTGCCCCAATTCCACAGAAATGGGAGGAGGGAGGCCGAGCTGGCTGGGGAGAAAGCAGGCCAGCCAGATTCTGAAAGGTTGTTTACAGTTCACAGCTGGAGAACAACACAAAGAGCAGCTGGCTGCTGCCGCCTGCAGCCCAGATCTGGACTGGCGGCACCAGAGAGCAGGGGATTTCCATGGGAGACCTCTGCAAAATGTCATGTGAGGCTCTTGTGCCACCTCTGGAGTTTTCCCCAAGCCCATTTGATTCCCCCCCCCCCCGTGCTTGGGGCGGAGACCAACACAGGTCTACCACAATAACACAGAACAGAGACTCTAGCATTCTGTTGGAAAACTAAATGACGCAACCCTCCTGGACACATGCCCTACTCCTAGGAATACTGGGTTCTACCCTGCCTGCTGCCAATTTCTCTCCCCCCCGCCTGGTGTTGTGACCCCTCCAGCCTATCCCTTCCCAAGGGGTCCCTCCTCACTTCCAGCCGTCTAGCGCTTGTGACCGCAGCTGCCCTCGGAGAAAGCAATGCAAAAGAAGCGACAGCAGGATTTCTCCACCCCTGTCTGAAGGCTTTGGGGCGGGGGGAGGAGGAGTATCCTCTCCAGCAAAGCAAGCCCACTAGCTCTCCCAACTCTGCTGTAGCCCCTTCCTCTGGGGAGCAAGACACCCGAGGGGGGCACCAGCTGTGGCCTGAGCAGCATATGGCCTTCTTCCCTCCAGACACCTGGCTTCGATCTTGCTCTCCACCGGGACACCAGGCTGAAGAACCCTTGGGGGGGGGAGTGGAGAGCCACCAGGGGGCCCTTCCTCCTCTTCCTCCCCCTTGCCCTTTGGGCTGCCCCGAATAACAGCTCCTGAATGGGGTGGCTGTGGAGGAAGAGGCAAGCTCAGACGCTCCCCCTCCGGATCCGGACTGAAAACAGACCATCCTATCAATGGTTTTTCTGCTGAAATGTCTTTGAAATACACAGGTGTCATAGTTTTAAGTGGAAGGACCAGTTTATCTTTTATTTCTGGTCCTGTGGGAGGACTTTAAAGTCTGCTAGGAGGAGGAGGGGGAGCAAGAGAGGAGCCTTGGCATCGACCACACAGACCTTCCAGGTTTGGTGGCACTTCTCCACGGCTGAGGAGCCCAGGGGGGTGGGGGTGGCAGGAGGCAGGAGAGCCCGGCCGGGCACCCTGCATGCCCCCTTGCTCTGAACTGGCCCCAGGGCCCCTCGGAGCACCTCCGTTTGGCCAGGGGTTGCCAGACAGCAGCCTTTCAAGTGGGGCCCTTCCTCTCCGTGATCCTCCGTTCGGGCAGGACCGTCCAGGGAACAAGGACGCTCTCCAGAATGGGCCTCTTGTGCCTCTGGCTCTGATTCACGTGGCGTTCCCGGTGACCTGAAGCCCCCTCCCCCCAGGTCTCTGCTGGCGGGAGAGCCGTCCCAATGGAGAAAGAGGGTGCCACGGTGCCAAGCTGCATCCGGAGCCAGCCCAGGAGGGCAGCACCATGGCTGTTGGCCATGATGGGGGAGATGGGCACTAGGGCCCAAAGGCCACAGCCAAACCCTCCCCCCAGCCTCATTGGGGACAAACAGGGGCATTCATCTGTCTGTCTGTCTGTCTGTCTGTCTGTCTATCCATCTATCTATCTAATTAATTTATAGCTGCACATCTCACAAGCAGATTACCTTGTGGAACAAAACTAAAATAAATGTCTAAAATCATGATTACGAACAATTATAAACATTTTAAAAACTATAAAAACGGCTGTTCCTCCTTTGAAGAGAATTCCTCAGGAGTAAGTGAAGGTCGGTCAAGGGGGGGCACCCATTGGCAGTCTTTTGCAGGGGGTGGGGCTGGACTTCCTCTTTCAACCCCCCCCCCCCTTTGGCCACAGCCACTGACCGCCCCCTGCAGCTTCCGGGGTCCCTTCCAGGCAAACAGGCGATTCTTTCGCTCCCGCCCAGGTGGCCGCCACAAGGGGAGAGGGGGGCGCAAGGGGGACAGTTGTCACGGCACACCCCCCCCCCCCCGAAAGCTTCTCCAGCGCGGGGAACAAAGCCTGCCAACTGCGAGATCTTCGGAGTCCGGGGCGGTTTTCAGCGGCTGCGCAATGCCCGGTTTTCCCGTTGCTATAACGCCACCCCCTGCCTCTGGGCTGCGGTACCAGCCGGCTGTAGATGATCTGCCTGCTACTCTTATCATTCTGGGTTCGGGGCTGTTGGCTTTCCTAGGCTTGGGGGGCGGGAGAAGGCAAACTACGTTTCCCAGAGTTCCACGGGACAGTCACAAGGGCGCTTCCTTCCCGCCTCGCTCATTTTCCTGGCTGAAGTCGAGCGCATTGTGCGCGTGCGCTTGCGCGTGCAGGCTCCGGGGAGCGGCTTGCGCGTGCAGCCCTGGCTCCTTCTCGTATCTCCCCCTCCCACATATCTCCCCCCTCCCGGCCCGCCTCCCTCCCCCCCTTGCAGGAGCTCGCCCTCGGAGCTGCCTGCGAAAGAGGGAGGCGCGAGTCCGCTCTGCATCCAAGCCCCTTTGGCCTTTTCCGGAAGGTGGCGTCGCAGCCCTCCAGTACGGGTGGGACGGGGGGGGGCTGCTTTCCACTTAGGAGGCTGACTCCAGAGCCCCCCGCCCAAGACGCTCCCTTTCTTCATCCACGCGGGTGCGAGGTTTTGTAAACCTAAAGCTGCAATGGGGGGGGGGTGCCCTGCAAATCGTGGCTGCGGAAGGGTCGTCGAGGGCAGCCTGGTTGCGCGTGGGTCCCGTGGCGCCTCCCCTCCCACTATCGGGCTTCCTCCTTGCAGTCAGTCTAGTGGCTTCCGAGGGGCGGCGATCCCCCTCCTTGGGAAAGTGGGGGGGTCTCGTTTCCCGGGGCCCCCGGAGGCGGCAGGGACGAGTTTTCCACGGAGTCCGAGGGAGGGGGAGGAGCGGCTTCAGCACCACGGGCTCGCGCGCCTCTCCTACGCCGCTGCCGGGCTCCGGAGGGGTCGCACCGGGCGGGGGCCGCACGGCTGCAGGGTCGCGCAAGGAAGGGCCGGAGGGCCGCCCACGGAGCGTGGCTGGCGGGAGTGACTGGCCGCGCCACCGCTCCCCCTCCGAAGATGGAAAGGCTTTTCCATCCGCCTTTAACGGCGAACCCTTCTCGGCAGCCTTGAAGGAACCGAGCGAATCAGCGCAGTTCTGCTCTCGGGGATGGGAGAGGGGCGCAGTCGCTCCCTCAGGACGGCCGCCCCTCGTTGGCTCCGCTCAGCAGGCCCCTCAGAAGGCAGTTGAGCCCCGGTTCCCTTCTCTGGTCTTCCCTGGTGGGCGGGGGCGGCTGAAGAGAGCCCCAAGAGCTGCTTTCTGCCCCATCCATCTTCTCCTTCAAGAGGAGGCTGGCCTTCTTGGGCACAGGGCCAGGGATAGCAAAGCCACCTTCCAGGGAAGTGGCTGGTGCGGGAGAGAAAGGGAGGAACAAGCAGCCTCTGCACGGGGGCAAAGCAGCCTCTCCTGCAGAGGCACCCAGCGGGAGGCATCTGCTTCCCTTGAAGGGAAGGCCCATAGAGACACGGGCCGGAGACCAAGCCCCTCGCCCCTCTCCCAGCCAAAGAACCAGCGTGGCCACTGGGTTTACAAGAGCGAGTTTATTTCTCTTTCAGGCGTAGGGGGGCTCTCGGCCCTGCGGCATCTGCCCCCCATGCCTTCGGAGCAGCAGCAGCAGCACCAGCAATCCCAGGCCCAGCGCCACAACCAGCCCTGCCGCCAGACACAGCCCGTCCTCCCATCGCAGGGAGCCCTCCAGGGCAAGCGCTCCGGAACCTGTCGGGGAAAGAATGTGCCGGGCAGGGGTCTCAGATAGCCCAAGTTGAGTTGGGGGGATCTTCGCTCTGGGCAGTCTCACGCTTGGGGCACAATCTGCACAATCTGTCCTCCAAAAGGGGCTCCCGATAGGAGGAATTGGTGCTGCTGCTGAAGGTCACCGGCCAGCAGCCCACAGGGTCAAGGGTGGGAGGACACATTGTCTGGGGCCCACGGTGTCCCCCTTCATGGTGCTCGTGTGCGGACGTGTGTGGCAGAGATGTCTGGGATTCGAGACCACACGATGCAGCCAAACACGCGAGGTGACCCCCCCAGGCCTCTCCCCTCAATACCTTCCGGGCGGGAGGCCTGCACGGGGAGGCTGAAGAAGTCCACTGGCCCAGCGGAAGCAAGCATCAGCGCCTGTCCTGCCTCTGATGGAGCTCCTTCCTGGGCATCTCTCCGGCCTGGAAGAAAAGGAGGGGCATGAGCACCGCAGTGCGGTCCCCACAGCTTCTTCCCCCCACCCTCGCAGAGGGTCACCCTCCACAGCAACCAACTCACGTCTGCCCTGCAGGCCAGCCTCACAGCGGGTGGCGCAGAGCTCCTGGGCAGAGGGCACGCAGGTGGAAGCGCTGCAGTGGAAGTAGATCTGTGGGGAAGGGCGCAGAGGTCAGGGGCAGCGGGAGGGCCTTGTGCTCTCCGGGAGAGCCTCACCCCACATGCAAGGCCCACAGCTCATCGGCTGGGGGAAAACGGTCCCCCCAAAGTCTGAACTATCTCCCTTCAGGAGGAGGGGATTACGGTTCTGGGAGGGATAGGCTGTTCAGAATTAGAACTCAGGACAGGAGGAGACCTCGTCCTGCTCTGCTCTGATGTGACAACAGGACCGGAACCCTGCCAGGCAGCCCCCACCCGGGGCAGCCGCCCAAGCCTACCGGGCCGCTGAGCATGCGCCGAGAGTCCGCGCCCACAAAGGCGAAGGTCCTGACCATGAAGCGCTGGTGGTGGGAGGGGAAGGGCAGCCCCGCATCCCACTGGAGGGGCACCAGCTGGGCCTGGTAGTTGTCTCCTTGGGCGGGGCACCTGGAGGGCAGACCGGGGAGCCCGGCGTCACTGGCAGCCCCTGCCTTGGGGAGAGAACCGAGCTTCGAGTTGTGACTGCTGCAGAGGGAAACCGGGCAGAGCTGAGGGGCCGGAATTCCCACTTCCGGGCCAGGGAGGGGTTTGGGCTGCTCCCCACCATGAAGCACTTGGCAACCAGCCAATTCTGTGGGCCCCTCAATTTCTGAACCAGGGTAACGGCCACTCCTCCACCAGCAGATGGGGAGGGGGGGGCGGCAGGCTGCCCCTCCCAGACTCTGGGTCGATTCTCCTCCCAGCAAGGTAGGAAATTGGAAGCTCTGCTTCTGCCCCACTTTGGGAGAGAGATGGGCGGCATATAAATTGAAAGAAATGCTGGGCCCCACAGAATCAAGGGGGCTGGGCGGCCCAGCAGTTCTCACCGGAGGAGGCAGCCAAGCCCTCCATGGGGCCAGGCAAACCGGTTGGTCAAGGCCCATTCCCCCCCAGGCCTGCCCCCCTCCCCCCAGATCCAAGTCACAGACCCATTCTGCAGAAGGGGCCACTGAGGTGCCCGGCGGGGGCTGGTGCCCGGAGTGGCCCAACATTCGTGGAGGAGCAGAACCAGCGCCGGGTCCCTAATTCCGAGGAGCCGGACCTCAAGGTGAATGGGGTCACGCAGGAGCTTCGCCACGGGGAAGTCCAGAGTCCCGTAGAAGGAGGAGTAGGTCTCGTCTGCGGAGGAGGGAGGGAGGGAGGAGGCCTCTGAAGTGGGACTGCCCCAGAGGGACACAGCAGGCAGGCTCTCCTCGGGGGGGGGGCGGCTCCCAAGGCACCCACCTCGAGCGACCCGCATGTCCATGGCGAGGCCCCCCCGCTGGGTGATGGCAGCCGGAGGAGGAGGGGTCGCCACCAGGACACTCACAGGGAGGGGCTCCTGGGCAGAGTAGCTGCAGCGGATGGTCAGTCTGCAAGAGAGCCCGGGGGTGTGTGAGGGGGGGCTTTTCTTAGCTCCTCCTCTGGCTGGGGCTTGTGCGGCCGGTGCTGCCGGATCCCCTGGGGGGCACCAGTGAAACCATGGAGGCAGAAGGTACCCCTGAGGTCATCAAGGCCCACCCCCTTCTCTGCCTGGGGGGAGGCAGCAAGCAGAGGCAGGAGGAGGCCCAGGGCTGCCCAGCCTGCTGGCCTGAGGTCCCGTCCACCTTCCTGGGAGGGGGCCAAGCACCAGGGCTCCGAGGGCCAGGCAGGCAGGCAGGCAGGCAGGGGGCCTCCAGAGGCAGTTGCCTCTTCTCCAGAGCTAGTTTTTGGCGACCTTCCGTAAGTGAAAGACTGGGCCCCCCCTCCATCTCAGGGGTGGGGGTCTTGGCCCTGGCCCTCTGGCTCCCCCCCTTCCTTCCCCTCTCCCAGCCTCCTGCTGGCCAGGAGGGACCTTCACCTGAAGAAGCCGCTGTCCCGGGTGACGGAGCCTGAAGAGGTGTGGAGGGTCCATCTCTCTGCCCAGAGCTCATTCTCGTAAATCTGCTGGCCTCCCGCCTCCTGGCAGAGAAAGGGCTGGCTGAGGGGAGGCCTTCCCTCCCTCCCTCCGTTCCCTCCCTCCCTCCCTCCCTTCCTTCCTTCCCTTCTCCCTCCCTCCCTTTCCTCCCTTTCCTTCCTTCCTTCCTTCCTTCCTTCCTTCCTTCCTTCCTTCCTTCCTTCCTTCCTTCCTTCCTTCCCTTCTCCCTCCCTTCCCTTCCCTTCTCTCCTCCCCCTCCCCTTCCTTCCTTCCTTCCTTCCTTCCTTCCTTCCTTCCTTCCTTCCTTCCTTCCTTCCTTCCTTCCTTCCTTCCTTCCTTCTCTTCCCTTCTCCCTTCCTTCCTTCCCTTCCCTTCCCTTCTCCCTCCCTCCCTTCCCTCCCCTTCTTTCCTTCCTTCCCTTCTCCCTCCCTCCCTTCCCTTCTCCATCCCTCCCTCCCTCCCTCCCTTTCCTCCCCTTCCTTCCTTCCTTCCTTCCTTCCTTCCTTCCTTCCTTCCTTCCTTCCTTCCTTCCTTCCTTCTCTTCCCTTCTCCCTTCCTTCCCTTCCCTTCCCTTCCCTTCTCCCTCCCTCCCCTTCCTTCTCTTCCCTTCCCTTCCCTTCCCTTCTGCTCTAGGGCCTGTTTTTATGGGGGGGGGGCCCTTCAGGCAGACATTTGCAGGTGTGGAAAATGGTTAAACATTTTGGAGCAATGTTAATGGGGGGAGGGGAGCTTCCCTGGCCTGCAAGGAAGGCAGACTAACTATTTTAAACTACAGTATAATTCTTCTTCTCTCTTTGACCCGTCCATTTTAACACTCAAAGAGGAACCGGGGCCCAGCCATCATGGAGAAGCCGCGAGACCCCCGGGGTCCAACCTCTCTCAGCCCCGGGAGTAGGCTTGGTGACCCCCAGCCAGCCAGCCTCTGCCAGGCCCCCCACCTCACAGGGCTGTTGTTGTCACACCCTCCCCACTGACCTTGAAGATCGTCCCACACGCGGAAAGCGGAAAGTTGAACACGACAAATGCTTCGTTCCTGAGCAGGGGGCCACAGGGCCGCCCCCGAGGGCCCAGCAGGTGCAATGAGTCCAAGCGCAGGGGCGGCACAACGGCGTCTCTGGAGACGGCCAGGGAGAAGGAGCCCTCCGGGGTGCAGCGAGCCGTCACTGTGCAGGGGGGGAGGGGTCTGCTGGGTCAAAGTTAAGGGTGCCCCCTTTCCTCCCAACCCTGGCCTAGAAGGGCCGTGGGCAGGACAGAGGCACCCCCCCAAAAGACAGAGGGAAGCCAGCCATGGGGTCTCCCCCCCCAATCACCCGGGTGGGTCAGGTCCTCCCTGCTCGCCCACTCTGCTTCTCTTGGGACGGCTTTGCCTCCTCAGAGCCCCTTCCTCATCCTGGGCATGGCAGGGGGTGATCAGAGGGTGCCTTCCCAGGAGGGGAGTGCCCCCCACCCCCAATGCCGAGGGAATAGAAGCCCACTGACCCCTCCCCTACCTTCAGAAGGAGGGCCCATTCAGCTCTGCTTTCCGCTTACCAGCCACCGTTTGGGGACCCTCAGAACAGCTCAATAGAGGGAAAAAACTGGGGCTGCCAAGCCCCCCCAGACAGACTCGCCTTTTCTTGGAGCAGCCATGCAGAGCAGCCAAGCCCTCCCCAGACGGGTCCAAAGGCGCCAGATGGCAGAACCAGCGGCAGCGGCTCCCATGTGACTCAGACCAGAAGGCGGTGACTCACCCCAAGCCCCCCAAAATAGACGTGGGGGTCCGCAAAGGGACTTGGGGGCACAGAGACTCCCAGGAGCCCTTCTCTGGCCAAGCGAGTCCCCCCGCCTCCCTCCCTCCCTCCCTCCCTCTGGCCCCGGGGGTCTGCCGGCTCACCTGCCTTGCCGTAGTAGCAGGGGATCACCCTGTCCTGGGGGTCGAAGCAGCAGCCCAAGTGGGAGCAGCGGCCATGGCTGAGCCGATGGGAGCTGCAGGGAAGGCGGTCCGCCAGCTGCACCGCTGAGCACCGACTGGGGCTGGGGGGGTCCAGGACTGGGGGGGGGAGAGGGCAGCCGTGGGGCACCCACAGCAAACTCACAACTGCTCAGGAGGACCCCAGGCCCTCTCTGCAGAGGCCAGCCTGAGCTCAGGACAGGCCCCTGGGGACCCCCAAGCAGTCTGGCTGGCTGTTGCCCTCCTCCCAGCTTGGCATCCCACATCTGACAGCTGCTGGTGGGCCTTTTGTAGCCTTCCCCAGTAGACTCCTGAGCCCGCCCCAATGGCTGCACCCCTTGGGGAGGCTGTGCTGCTGAGCCCCCCTCCCAACGTCCCTGGGCTGCGTTGGGAAGTGCTCCTTGGGGGACCCTGCCGGGGGCTCGCCCAGGGCCCCCAACCTTCCTTGCTCAAAGCCAAAAAGGGCCCCTAGCTGAAGGGAACACAGAGGCTGGGTCAGTGAGGCCCCAGAGCCCAGCCCCAGGGGCCCCAGGAAAGAGCAGGGAGACCCCAGAGTGGAGACCGGCCGGGCCAGGAGCAACCAGGCTGAGCCTCTCGGGAACCGCCTCGTTTGTGTCCTGGAGGGACCCTGAGCCAGCACCCTGATTTCTCACGGTGGGTTTGAATTTGGGGTTCCTCGGAGGCGGGAGACCCTCCCAGCACCCCTGGCTGCCTCAGCACCCACCTCCAGGCAGCCCCACTGCAGCCTGCGGCTCCCACCCCATCTCAGCGGGGGCTGGCTTGGCACTAGAAGCCATCAGGAGTGCCAGGAGTGTGAGGGAAGCCATGTCAGCCGCATCTGCCTGGCAGGAGGCAGGGAGGGGTCTGGGCCCCTCCAGTTGCCAGGGCCAGGGTGGGCTTCTCCCACGTCAACAGCACCTCTTTGTGACCTCACCTCCCCTCCTGGCCTGCAGCAGCTTTGGGCACAAGGGCAGTGGGGCAGGAAGCTCCTGGGGGCCCCTTCCACTCAAGAGACCAGGAGGGAGCCCCCCTCCCTCACTGGCTGCAGGCGGGCCATCCCTGGCTTGCATCCACGGGAGCCTGGCCTCTCCCCACGGGGGGGGGGTGTCAGCAGCCCTGGCCTCTGAGGAAGCCAGTCTTCCTCACCACTCTCCCCAGGGGTGACCAGGGCAGAAGTGGGGTCTTCCCCCTTTGGTCTGGGCTTTAAGGGAACAACACGCAACCCCATTGTTGAAGCATTATAAGAGGATTCTGCTTAGAACAGGGGTCTTTAAACTTGGCCCTTTGATGATTTGTGGACTTCATCTCCCAGAATTCCTCAGCCAGGCACAAGTCATCAAAGGGCCAAGTTTGAAGACCCCTGGCTTAGAAACTGCACAGCCCCCTCAAGCGGAGGAACATCCCAGGGGCAGCCCCCACCCCCAAATGCTGTCATTTCAGCTGGTGGCTAATGCACTGGAGCAGCACGTGGCCCTGAAGATGGGGAACTACAGGGGCCCCCACCCCGCAGTCCCCACGGAAAAGCCCCCCCCCTCGACTACCTAAACGTGGCTCTGGGCACCTCAGCTCCTCCTTGTAGGTGGTCTTCCGTCCATCCGGCCTGACGCCTTCGATCTGTACAGTGGTCCGATAGTTCCTGTCCTGGTGGAGGGGGAGGAACCTGCAGTCACCTCAGCCCACCTAAAAACTTCTCCTGCCCCCCCCCGCCTTTGGGGTCACAGCGCTGGCTTGGGGGAGCCTTCCTGGGGCCAATGAGGGGGCCTCACTCTGTCCACCAAGGATGTCCTGGAGTTCTTTCAGATCCTGAAATCTCCTTTCTGGGGGGTCCAGAAGGCATCCTGAGCACCCCAGGCAGAGGTTGCGACAAAGGGCAGCCCAGCAGGTAGTTCCACTGGTTAATTGTCCTCACTGTCAGGAAATTTATCCTTAATTCTTCTCTCCTTGATTAGTTTCCATCCGTTGCTTCTTGTCCTGCCTACCGGTGCATTGGAGAATAGCTTTGACTCCCACTTCTTTGGGGCAGCCCCTGAGATACTAGAAGACTGCTATCCTGTCCCCCCTTGTCCTTCTCTTCATTAAACTAGACATCCCCAATTCCAGCAACCGTTCTTTATATGTTTTAGCCTCCAGTCCCCTGATCATCTTTGTTGCTCTTCTCTGCACTCTTTCCAGAGTCTCAACATCTTTTTTACATCGTGGTGACCAAAACTGGATGCAAGATTCCAGGTGTGGCCTTACCTAGGCCTTGTAAAGTGGTAGTAACAGTTCAGGTGATCTTGATTCTGTCCCTCTGCTAATGAAGCCCAGGATGTTTTGGCGACTGCTGCACACGGCTGGCTCCTATTCAAGGGATCCTCTGCTGGGACTCCGAGATCCCTCTTGCAATCAATGCAGCCCACAGCTCCGTCGGTCTTCCCTGCATCCTGCCCAGCGCCCAAGGTGCCACTTCAATCTCCCCTGGTCAGCAGGTCCAATGGCCAGGGGCCAGGGCTGCCTGGATGGACTGTCTGGGATTCTGGGCTGTGGGGAAGAGCCGTCACAGCAGGCCGGAAGAGTTGGGCGTGGCAGCCCTGCCAAGGTTTCTGCCCTCCCTGGGCAGTGCAGGGTGTAGCTGGGTGGGAAGAGGGGGCCAGCGGAGCCCACTCCCCCCTCTCCCCTCGTGCCACGAGCCTGATTCTTACCTGCACCTGGGTGTAGCATCCATCAAAGGCCGTCTCTACTGCCACGGAGCCATCTGGCTGAGAGGTCACTGATATCCCACAGGCGGAGTCATTCCTCAGCAGGCGGGGGGTCCCGGCGGGATCTGGGGGGTGAAGAGGAGGCAGAGTGGCAGAACTGAGAGCCTGGGCCCCTCCCATCAGCCCTGCAAGGCGGGCCAGGTCAGGAGCAGAGGTGGTCTGGGGACCCCGGCGACAGGGGCAGCAGCTGGAAAGCCCGATCCGTTTTATTTATTTATTTATTTAATTTATGAGACTTATATATCGCTTTAAGTGCAAGCACTCTCTAAGCGGTGTACACCAGTAAGCAATGTATATATATATATTTACATTGCCCCCAACAATCTGGGTCCTCATTTGACCTACCCCGGAAGGATGGAAGGCTGAGCCAACCTTGAGCCGGTGAGATTTGAACCGCTGACCTGCTGAACACAGTCAGCTAAAGTGGCCTGCAGTACTGCACGCTAACTGCTGCGCCACCTCGGCTCAGTTTTCCCTGCCAGCCTCTTAAAGTGCTTTCCCCAACCCTGGGAATATTATCCAAAATTAGGTAAAAGTGGATTTTCTTTGGGCAATGACACATGGCTCCATTATGCATCACAACAGGGACGTTTAAACGGGCTGGCCAGGGGTCCTAAAATATATTCTCCCCATTCTAAGAGTACGAATGCTACTCTCCCAAAGTATTCCCAGGGAAGACAAAAATCCATGGAAATTACTGATGGTTTACTTATTTATTTAGCATACGGCATATCATACGTGGACTTGCAATGACTATTTTGTTACTATTAGTAACAAAAATTAATAATGGTAATTTGTTGAGATGACATAAAGATCATTCAGTCAGATTGTTTCTGCAATACAGGTATAGTCCTCCAGTTACAACTGCGTGTTTGGTGACCATTCCAAGTTACGACGGTGCTGAAGGGAAGCACCCAGCCCTCAATAAGACTTTCTGAAGAGCAGCTGGGGAGCCCCGGCTTAAAGGGTTCGGGGGCATCCCTTGAAGCGTCTTGCTGGCGTCTCTTCCCCCCCAGTTGCGTTTGGGCAGCTGCAGCCCCCAGACTCAGGGCCACCTACACCCCCCTTTGTTTATTTCTATCCACAATGGCCTCTTGCGCCCCCCCAACCCCCTTGACTTGGCAGGAGGGGGGAAATCTCCAGAAGCCTTGGCCCCTTCTCAAGGACAGTGTGGTTGTGGCCAATCTCAGCCAGCTGCATCCGCACCACCGCACCATCTGAAATTGGAAGGAAGGCGAAACCTATCCCGCATTTTGATCTGCCTTAATTTGGAAGACCCCCTCCCGCAAGCCGTTATTTCTGCAAACCATAGTCTAGGGCACGAAGGTTAGCGTGATCAGCACACGGCTGGCAAGAAACAAAAACGGCCCCCGGATTGTGAAGGAGTGGGAGAAAACCTGCCCATCTGGTTTGGGGTGGGGAACCTTGGCCCTGTTGTGACATGTGGACTTGAACTCACAGCATCGCTGGCTGAGGAATTCTGGGAATGGAAGTCCACATGTCATCAAAGGGCCAAGTTTGAAGACCCCTGACCCAGATGGGCAGGTTTTCTCTGGCTGCTGCTGCTGTCCTCGCCATCCCCCCTTTGCTTATAAGTGGGGAGCGGACCCCAGGCCTCCTCAGGCTGCCTGCCCTAGGAAAGCCCAGCTGAGCCTGTGCGCGGGGGGGGGGGAAGCTGCCAAGACCCCCAGCCCTGTTTGGCCTGGGGCTTCCTCAAGCAAGAGCCTCTCCCCCGCCTTACGGGAAAACCAGAGAGAGCAGGCGACTTGTGAGAATACACATGTACAAGCCCCTCCCAACGCATAAGAGAGTCAGATCTGCACAAGCAGACTGTGGTTCCAATAAAGGGGAATCTTGGCAGCTCAGGGCTGAACCGAGGGGTCCCTGGTGCTCTCCCAGTCAGTCTGTTTCCTTGCAGACCTCCCATGACCCAAATTAGATAACATCATCAGTGCAGTCAGGAGTGGAGTTTTTCCGTTATGTAACCCCAAGGACGGACACACACACAAAGGACATCCCCCCCCCCGGGACTTTTTGTCTTCCTTCCGCCCTACTGCTCAGGGACAATCTTCCTGCAAAAATCAGACTTTAAAAAATATCAGCAGAAAAGTTTCAGAATATGCAAAAGCTGCCAGTTAAGAACATTTAAATGATAGATGCCAACAATATTTTTAATGTTTAAAACAGTTGCAAAAGGTCGCCTGGCACCTTGGTTGGTCAACTGCCTTAAAGGAGCAAAAGGCCCCAGTGAGGGAGGGGGCAGAAGAGCAGCTTTGCCCCCAGAAGTGCCCAGGGTGAGCACAGCTACTTGGGCAGAGGAAGCCCCCCCCTCCCACCAGCCCCCTCCTCCCCAAGCTGGCGCAAGGCCAACTTCCCTGCCCACAGCTGGGAGGGCTCAGAAGGCTCCCCCCCACTCAGCCCCCCCTTATTCCTTGGGGCTCAGTCCCGTCTCGAGGCTCTGTGCCACTGACCAAGAAGCCGGATGACCGAGGAAGCCACTCTGGCCCTGGGCGTCAGCAGGATCCGCATGCGGCCCCCCTGGCAGCTCTGCAAAGCAGCCCCCCAGAAGCCTGCCTCCTGGCACAGGCCCACCTGCAAGGCCCAGGAGAGGAGGAGGAGGACGAGCACCGCAAGAGCCATCCGGAGTCAAAAGGGAGGGTGTCACTTCCTCCCCAGCTAGGCTTCCAGGTGCTGACAAGTGGCTAGTCCTCAAAGAGGTTTTTATAGCCCTGGGGGAGATTGGAAGTCCCAAGCACCTGGGAGGGAGGGAGGAGGGGGAGGGCTGTGCTGCAGATCAAGGCTGCAGTCCCTTTGCAGGGAGACTGGGAGTCCGGGAACGGCGAGGGGGGGGGTGAGGAGGAGCTAGGAGGGCCAGCCATCCCCTCTCGCAGCCCCCCTCCCGCGGTTCTTCTCTTGATTGCCTGACGTTGGCTTTATAGCTCGCTTAGTGGCGGGGCGGGATTCTTTTATTGACCGAAAAGTACTCTGTACTAGTCCGAGAGAAAAAAAGCTCCCTGCACGAAAGACAGTCTGTGCGTAGCCAGGAGCAACCTTTCTGCAAACGGTGTTTCGAGTGGGCACAACCTTAGTTGTTCTCGGGGAAAACACTCTGTGCATGTTCAGAGGGAAAAGGCTTTGCACAGGGTCTCCCCATCCCGGGCGGAGACCGGGAGGAGAGGTCTCTCCCTGAGGTTACAATCGCCCCAGGGGACCCAAGCCGGGGCAGGGGGATTTACTGCAGGCCCCAGGGGGAAACTCTGCACATGCACAGAGGGAGCCCTCCGATCCAGATCCCTCCTCCAAACGGGAAAAAGGCACCGCAGACGCGCTCCTTCTTTCGGAATCCGCAGAGAGCCCTCGACAGCGACACCAGCAACTCAGTCCTTTTGTGCGCTTCCCCGCTTCCCCGCCGGGACTCCCCAACATCAGCACCGCGCTCTGCCCGCGCTCAGAGGCGCGCTTCGCTCCCCCCCACCGCGACCTTACACCGCCCTGCCAGTGGCGGCCCCGCCCACTTGCCCCTCTCGCCCGCTGATTGGCGGGCGGCAACGCAGGGGGCGTGGCCCGTGCGAGGGCGCTGGCGGTGTCCGGCGGGTGGGCGTGGCCAACGGACGCCTCGGAGGCGCGAACCAAGATGGCGGCGGCGGTGGCGGCCGGAGGAGGCGGCGGCGGCGTCCGGAGCGCCCTCTCCATGGCCTCCGCCGCGGCTGCTGACCCCGTTCCGCCGGCGCCGCCCCCGGGGCGCTTCTCGCTGGTGGTGATCTTCGGCGCCGGCGTCGGCATCCGGCCGGGGCTGCGCAGGGCGGTGCTGACGGCCGTCAGAGCCGGTGAGGGGGCGCCGGATGAGGGGGGAGGGGGGCTTCGGAGTCGAGGTGCCCTTCCGCCGCCCTCCCGCAACAAACCCCGCCAGGGAGGCCGGAGGAGGAGCGGTCCCGGGGGGAGGGGAGCAGCCGGACCCCCCCACGCGGCCTGGGGGGGCGGAGGCGGGGCGGGGCTGCCCCGGGGGGCCCTTGGGGGGGGTTCAGGAGGAGAGCCTGCCTGGGCTGCGAGGGGTGGGGGCTTCCGGGGGGGTCGGCAGACGGACGCTCTCTTCCCTCCCGGCGACGGGGGGGCCCGACGGGGGAGGAGGCGAGCGTGGAGCGGGGGGGGCTGAGGATCCCGGGGGGGCGCCAGTTCAGCGCTGGGGGTGGGGGCAAGGCCAGAGAAGGACCCCCTCCCCGGCTGCCCCCCCCGCCTCGGTCCCAGGGGGCCTTTGCAGCGGCTGGGAAAAGGGGGAGGGGAGGTTCCTTGCGAGAGGATGTCCCCCCGGAGAAGAGGGGGGCGCCTTGGGGGGCCTTCCGGCGGAGCAGCCGGGGTCACCCGAGGGGAGCCGGGCCGGGGGGGGGCTGCGGGGGGCTGCCAGGCCGGAGGGGGCGCCTGGACGCTGGAGAAGCGCCCGACTTTCAGGCTGGGGCCACCCCGAAGGCGGCGTGATTCGTGTGGCTCTGCTGGTGCTTTTGCCCGGGCGGTCCGGGTATCTGGGGGTCTCTGGGGTCGCTCCTTTCGCGGCCTTTGGGGTGTCTATGACCGTCAGAGCCGGGGCAGGGGCTGTGGCCGATCTAAAGGGTCTCCTGAAGGCAGACCCCAGTGCCGAGCGCCCCAGGATGGCTGCTGCGGGGATGTGGGGTCTGCCCGGTTCCCCCCTCCTTTGGCCAGAGGCAGAGGGGCCGCCAGCATCTCTGGGAAGGAGAGGAGAAGCAGCTTAGAAGGGGGCAGGGGCTCTGGGGGGGGGCTGGGACATGGAGGAGGAGGAGGCCCGGCTGGGTTTCCTGCAAGGGAAGCAAGCTGGACGTGGAGCAGAAAGGGCAGCTGATGCCAGAGGAAGTTGAGGTCAGCACTGCCCTGGCCATTCCTGCCTGATCTCATCCCTGCCTGATGTGTGGATGTCCCAAGGCCTGGGCCTGAGCGGGGGGGGGGGGGGAGAGAATGGAAAGCCCAGCCCTGGCCTTCGACTCCCTTCCGGCCTCGGATGTCCCAACATCCCTGTTTCCTGGGGGGAGAAGGCTGCCGGGGTGGCCTTTCTTGGCCATGGGATGTGTGTGTGTGCTGGAAGCGGTTGCTTTCTCTATTTTTTTTAGAAGAAGAGCCACCTGATTTTGGAGCATTTGGGTGGGGGAAGGAGAGGCCGTGCGTTGTGCAGGACTTCTCCAAGGGAAGGCCCACTGGGCATACGGGGCTCCTCGGCGTGTTGGGGGAGGCTGCTTCTGCTCTTGGGGCTGCCCTGGCCGTTTCTCAACTTTCCCCAGTGGTGGCAGCTCCTTGTCCCGACAGGCCACTCCGCTGCTGTAGCAGTTGGGGAAGTCACACGGGGAAGAGGGGAGCACCAAGGCCTCGGTGTTTGTTGGGATGGCTACTTGGAGTCCCAGCCTCAGCACAAAAGCAGCCCCTTCCTCCCGGGGTCCCAGCCCGGCAGCAGAAAGAGGGGGACGGTCCCAGCTAAGCGAAACCAAAATAAGCGGCAGGGCGGTTCCTGGAGGAGAGCCTGGCAACACCTTTGCTCCTGGGATTGTTTTCAGACGGCAAATTGCTCCCAATTGCTGCTTTCCTGGCCCGAGGAGAAGGTGGTTTCCCTGCGCTGGAAGTTGCTTTTGTTTTCCCCGTGCACCTGAGTCACCTTGGCAAGGTGCGAGTCGGCCGGGAGCCAAGGCCGGGTGCGCACCTGTTGGGGTGCACCTCTTCTGCGGAGGGGATGGGAGCCCCGCTGTCGCCTCTCACCAGGGAGATGCCGCCTGTTGTGGCTCCTCTGTGGCTTCCGGTTCTCCTCTGGACTTGGCAGGACCTTGTTTTCCATTTGCCGAAGAAGAAGCGGGAGGATTGCTCAGAGCGGTGGAAAAGCGAACAGAGGGTGGAAGACGTGCGGCCCCTTTGCTTTGCAGGGAGGGCTTTGTGCGAGTCCTGACTGTATTGTCAGAGCCAGAGCTCCTGGGGCAGGCAGTGCGGGGGAAGGAGGGAGGGTGGGTGAGCTGGGGGTGGGCTAGTGGAAGCTCCCCGACGGAGGAGGAGGCGGGCATTCCTCCCCCTGCCAAGGCGTCTGGTTCCCTCTTTCAGGACAGCAGCTGCTCTTTGATCTTGATCTCCGTGCTGGGCAGCTGCTGCAGGGCTGCCTGGTTCTCTGGCCCTGCTCCTAATCCCGAAGCGAAGCGTCTCTGTCCGGCAGCTCTGTGGTCGGTCGGCTTTAGCTAGCAGCCGCCTCTGCAGGAACGGGAAGCGGATAAACGGCCTGACTCCGAGGCCTGGTGGGTGCTTGGTCTTCCTTCAGGGAGGCTGCTGAGGCTGAGCCACAGGGAGCCCTTCCTGCCCTGTCTTCCCTCTAGCTGAGCCGGGTCAGCTTCTGGAAGGGAAGGGAAGGCCCCAAAGCTGGTGGGATCCCTTGCAGCGGGGCGGTTATCGGGCAGGGAGGCCCCCTTGAAGGGCTCCTCTGTGGCAGCTGCCCCAGACAGGTTCACCTGGGGCTGCATTCCCTTCAGGAAAGCAGCTGAGGCGGGTCTCCTTATGAGAGAGGGGCAACCTTGCTTCCAGCCGGAGTCGATGGCCTCGGTCCACACTTGGAGATCGGTGTTGGGTGGGTGGCCTTTGGGCACGTCTAGGGAGGCGAGGCTCTCCCCCCCCCGTCCAGCCCCACTACTGAGCCAGCTGCTGTGGGGCTGGCCCCATAGCCGAGGAGAAGGCCCAAGGCCTCATCATGGGGTGGGATGCATTCTGCCAAAAGGGGGGTAGGAATAAGTCCTCTAGGGAAGAAGCCCTCTTTGGACCGGGATAAGCAAGCCGAGCTCCCATTGTGTGGGAGGAAAGTTGACCCGCCTTCCAGAGACGGAGGGCTGGAGGATTCTGCACTCCCTGTGGAAAGCGGGGGAAAACGACAGCCTCGCAGAGGGAGCGAGCGACGTTGGCTCTGCCGGGGCTTGTCCCGTACTGGAGGACGGAGACTCTGATCGCCCACGAGGACGGCTGTGGCTGGGCCCTGCGCAGGCCGAGCAGATGAGAAGAGATGCGTTCGAGAGAGGCCCTGGTGGCTCGCAGGCGCTCGTGCCCGGGGGGCCAGCAACGGAATTCCTCCGAAATTCAGAAGGAGCGAAAGAGTCCGTGGCAGCAGCAGCACCACAGCCCCGAGGGAAGCGAGCGCCGCAAGGCTGGAATCGTGGACCTCGTCAGCCTCACTGCCTCCTTTACGTCTCACGGGCAAACCTGCCCACGGGAGGCCCCTGGGAGTGCTAGAGCACCCCGTGGCGCATGCCCCAAAGCGTGGGTCTGGTGTGTAGACCACACCTTTGTCATAGCAAGAAGGGCAACTAGGGGAGACCCACGAAACAGCCAGCAACGTCTTCAAAGGAATAAAAGTCACAAAGGAATAACGGCAAATTAGAAAGACAAGTTGATTGAAAGATGGCCCACAGGAACCCAGTGCTCCCTTGTCAAAGAGCACACGTGACCCACAAACACCCAGAACCTCAGAGAAAGGAAACGGGCCGCCCATTTGGCAGCTTTCAACAAGACGGATGCCTGGGCAACTGTATCCAAAAGCGCCAGGCCACTCAACTCACTACAGCGCAACAAACACAAGTTATTTACTCATTTATAAAATGTGTAGGCAGCCCGTCTTGCCTCAGGATAACAAGTTGTGAGTGTGATCACACAGCTGTACATCAAAAACATCTCAGAAACCACCAAGAGGCTATGGCAACCACACAGCATCAGCACAGCACACAAACCAACTAAAGTCACATCCCCCTCTGAATATCCTAAGCAAAACAAAAGACCCAGCAGCCCCAGAAGGAAACACAGGAGCCATCCACAACGTACAGTGTGAGGACTAACAATCCCTGTGTGGGCCGAACGGGCAGAAGGCTGGCCGAACTCGTCCAGGAACCTCAACTGGCAGTCGGCGGGAGACATGATCAAAACTGCTGAAACTCGCAACCCGTGGACAGACGCAGCCGCAGTTTTAGCTGGGAAACGGTGAGCGTCCTCGGCTGGCTAAATCAAAAAGCGCCAGGGAATTCCTGGAAGCTTGGCATCCAGAGGGATTAGCCATCAACAGACACCCAGAGATAAATCATATTTTCAGGCCATTGAAAAGAGAAAACCAAAAAGGCCGGAACCCCACCCCTCTCCCAGTGCCCAGAGAAGCCGGGATTGCAAAGCGGAAAGCAACTCCACAGTCAAGGAGCTGTGATTCCCGACGAGCCAGATTGTTTTCTTAAAGGTGCAAAAACACTGAAACGTTCCTTCACCGCAGCTTGGTAAACAAGTTTTCAGACGGCCCGGTGGTTACACACCAGGCTTGACTTAAGAGGATGATGACTTAAGGGGATGATGACAACAACAGAGCTGTTTTACACACTGCCACTCTTCCAGGCAGTATTTACTTTGGGTTATGTGCAAAGTACTGGAAAAGCTAGGCAATAAATTGGCTTGTTTTGTACAACGTATTCTGACGTCCTTGTTGAGAGGCAAGAGGCTGCGTGGTGTTGCAGCAACATCTTCCTGTTGTGTTGTCAGCCTCCAGCTTTTTAAAAATTCTATGACCTCTATGCAAACGTCATTTCCTTTGCTTTGTGGATTAGGAGTTTGGCTGGGCTTAAGGAGGGTTATATTAGCACTAAAACGGGCAGGTCTTTTTAGGCTGCCAGAGGCCTAGTTTCTAATAATGCAATAAACTGAGCTTAAGCCAAGTTTCCTCTGGATTTTTTTTTTGTTTCGTTTGTTGTGTAGGCAGGTCCCAGGTCCTTTGTAGGCCCTGCTTTCTGGCTAGGCTGCTGTGTGGGGGAGATTGGCACAATTACGGGCC